GACCATTTTAGTATTGGGCCGCGTGACTTTAAATCTTCACTTTACTAGCCGGTGTGTTGTTAGCTGCTCTTGTGTAGCTATTCTAAACCCTTCCTTTAAAGCCTTTTTGGCAGGCCGCAGGCCCTGCAGTCCTACTACGTTCTCTTGCAGTCAACTGGACTCATACGTTCTAGTACACACTCGCTCTTGCAATCGCAAGGTCTCGGATGCTGGGATAACCCCCAGAAATAAACGGCTGCGAGGAGCGAGAGAGAGAGACAGAGAGAGAGAGAGAGCTTCGATACTGGTTGAGTAACTAGCTATAGGTCCCAACACTCCACGTTTGTGCCGATTGTGAGAGATCCGCTCGTGGCGGGCCCTTAAACATGCCTCTTCGGGCACATTCCGGGCCAAATGCTCTCCCGAAAAGCTTGAATGTCAGGGCAGGCGTTATTATCCTGAGGAAGCGATTAGACCCTCAACTCAGCAATCACAGCCCGTGCACCGCGCCCTGCATGTCTGAAACATGAAGGCCTGCCTCTGTGCTTCCATGATGCTCTTACTACTTGCTAACTTCACACTTGTCTGCACCTGCATTCAGTCTGACGATGGCCAGGCGGAGGACGACAAAATTACGGTTGATGCAATTAATCCTGCATGACCATAATATATGGATGAATCTACTATAATTCCCATAGTTTACGATCCTTACGGGTAGTGCAGGATTTATACTACCAGTTACTATCAACAGTATTTCGAAAGACTAAGTATGGTACCGACTGCGGAGTCGGCGGCTGCGAGACTCTTGTGTGGCGGGATGTGATGCTGATGATGATGAAATTCAACCGTAGCTAGTTGCAGTTGCTACACACATTCGTAATCGTGCTAGACATTTTAACCCTAAACCCTAAAACCCTGAACCCTAAACCCAGCATGGCGGGTGTCAACCTTTCCATCCCACCACCCCCAGGGAAAGCACAGCGGGAATGCTACATGGTGGGTTTAGGGCTTTAGGGTTTAGGGTTTATTTAGGGTGCTGAAGGTGATTCACTGGAATTTAATGTAGCACAGTGTTCTTTAAAGGGATGTCAGGGTTCTTGAGGGGCCCATACGCAACTCTACCACCTTGAAAGTCCCGGCTTGCTAAGATGCGCACAAAAGAACGATGCCTAGTTCTTTGCTTTAATTTAAGGCTCTTTTTTCAAACTAATTCCGGGGCCCTTGGGTTACGAGCAGTGGGGGTTTGCAAAGGCTAGGAAGGACGAGAGTTCAGGGCTGTAGTGTTTCGGGGTTTAGGGCCAGGCTGCCATTAATTTACCTGTGTCAGGGTCTTAGCATATGGATAGTTCTCTAAAGTAGGGTCCCTTTTTAGGTCCCCAAGATAGTACGGCACTCTCATGAAAAGGACCCTAAAAGGACCCTAATGTAGAGAACTATCCATATGGACCTTGTTTTAAGCCTGTTTTTGGGCTTGGGGCCTCATTGGGGTCGCGACCTTCCCGAGTGGCGCATGAGCCATCAGGCGAAAATCTATCCAAAAACGGCTTCAGGGCTTAGGGTTTAGGCTTTATGGCTTAGGGTTTAGGGTTTACGGCTTAGGGTTTAGGGTTTATGGCTTAGGGTTTAGGGTTTACGGCTTAGGGTTTACGGTTTACGGCTTAGGGTTTAGGGCTTATAGGGTTTATAGGGTCTAGGGTTAGCCGACAATCTGTGCCAGTTGTACGAGATCATCGAGACGCCCCGGCAGCTGTACCTGATCATGGAGTGCCCCTATCCGCTGGGGTTTAGGGTTTAGCGTTTAGGGTTTCGACAGGATCCGAATTTGTGTATACAGTGGGCCTGAAGGTGAAAGTGTTGCCGATGCTTAGGTTTGAGAGCTGTGTTGTTATTCCGGTAGCTGTCGATATCCGCATGTCTCGAGTGCTTCCCCGGAACCTTCGTATCTGAAAGGGCCTCACAGCAGCATACTAAGGAAGAAGATACTGAAAAAACGAAAAGATTGCTCCTGCCTCCTACCTGCCGTGAGTGTTTCAGTTGGGACTGAAGTTTTCGGTCGGATTCGGCTGGTATGGTTGCTTAGACCTGGGTTTCGTGCATGACCCTGGGCTGCAGCAAGACATGGTAGAAGCAAGAATTAGCAGTGGGGATCCTGGATGTATTCGTGTAGCTGTGCTTGTAGGGGTAGGTGGCAGGTAGGCAGGTCCTGAGGTAGGTGGATACATAGAGATCAGCAGATGTTATTAGATAAGTAGAAGAGCTTCGAGACGGGGTTCCAAGCCCAAATCGGAAAATTTGATGGAAAGTTACTTCGACGGAGGTGCTAAGGAGCCGAGTGGCCAGCAATCCTGCAGAATTACCTATAGTCTCCATTGTAGTTCCTTTTTGGGGTTACCTTTTCGGATCCTTAACATAGAATTGGTTAAACCAAAAAAAGGAACTACAATGGAGACTATAGGTAGGGTCTAGGACCTCGGTTTGAGGGTTTAGAGTCTCAGCGCTTCGGGGTTCTCCTTACCTGAACAGAACGAGAGCGAATACTGATTTTCCAACTTTCTGGCTTCTGCTTCAAGGGATGGTCGTTCAGGGATCAGCCTTAAACCCTAAACCTTTAAACCCTAAACCCCTAAACCCTCAAACCCTTAAGCCCTAAACCCTTAACCCCCTAAACTCAGGGATCAGAGGTACGCCCCCGGCGGCGAGCTGTTTGACTACATCGTCGAACATGGCCGTGCCGAGGCATTGGTGCATGCCGTGCCGCCTTCTCCCTACATTTCACTCATATGATTTATGGGTCGCTTACTCCGTTAAGTCTTAGTTTAAGCCCAATTTCATAGTATGGAGAACAACTTCGTGTCGCTATCTGGTTGCTAAGCCCCAAAAGCCTTAAATCCTTCTGTTAAAGCTTTAGCCTCAACCCCCAATCACGACCCTTCCCCAACCCCCCGGCAGGAGGCTTAGAAGCTTACGTTCGGGTTGCACCCTGACAGGGGTTTTATAGGGTTTAGGGTTTAGGGCTTAGGATTTAGGGCTTAGAGCGTTGTTGTCCGACAGACCAAAAACCTGCGGTTCAGGCTTGAGGGGTTTGGGTAGCCCTGAATGCGATGTTTCGTGCTGATTGCCTGTTCCTGTTGTACCTAGTAACATTCCGTTCATGGGGATCAGGGATCCCATTGTTCAGAACATAATAAGTGGCCCTTCAAGAACTTGAACCATAGGCTTGCCACAATCAGGACAGGCCCCGGCCCCTGAAAAGCAGATACCATCCCCGTTTAGCATACACCTGGCAGCACATCCATTGGCGTCAGGAGAAGGACGTTGGAAACTCGGCGCTCTGCATCTGTCTTGCGATGCTGAGTCTTTGGTGTGTTCTACTTGCTGTGTGTTTGCAGAAGGCTGTTCTATAACTTATGGAATATCTACGGTGCGTTCATTGGGGGGGGTGGACTCTTAACTGAACTTGAACTAAGGATCCTTCTATTGAAATGCACCATGTCTAGATGCCCCATAGTTGTAGTTCGTGGGAAGGAGGCAACCCTGAAGTCTCCCCAAAGCACTTGCCAGAAGAGGGTTTAGGGTTTGGTGTTGAACTACGGGTTTAGCTGGCTAGTGATTGCAAGTATGTATGTATATATATATATATATTTATAGAGATATAGTCGGTTCTAAATCTCTTCATAACCAAATCTCCGGTTTACTAGAACCTACAGATAAGGTTCCCAAACCTTTTCTGGGACAAAAAAGCACAGCGGGGTGCACTTTTCCTGGGAAAAAACCGCTGTTTGCAGCCTGAGTTGCTCGGCTCAAGCTTGAGGGCTTCGGAGTAATTTTGTAGCGGGCCATATGTGAGTCATTAGCCATAGGCTAAGGCCTAGTATCAACAAACCAGAAAGCCCTCTATGCAGCGTGGTACAGCGTGGTACCACGCAAAGGGGACGCAGGGCCACTTTACGAAAATTATCGAACATGACTTGCAAGTTTTTACCCGACTTAGATTTTAGACCTCATAAAACGTATGAAGATACTAGAACTACTAGAACAAAGAACACAAACACATCATACTTTTTTTACTTTGTTTAGGACAAATAGTTCTGGTTTGATGATGTATGCTTAGAAACTCTCTACTTGGAAGCTTTTCATGATTCTTGAACCGAACTGGTCCCCAGCAGTCCTGTATGAGGACTGCATGGTTCAGGGTCCCTTGTTTGGATCCCACAAAGCAACTATCACCCTTGTAGAGCCTTCAATCGGACTCTATCCGAAAGATTACAAACCGGTATGGTTTAAGTTTAGGGCCCTAAACCCTAAACCCTAAAGCCCTAAACCCTAAACCCCTAGCAATAGTAGGTTATGACCTTTTGATTGTTGGGTATGCCTAGGCTCCAAATAACCTACTTTCTCAAGGACCCATCTTAAGAAATCATAATACGGAACCCTGAAAAGCAGGTTATTGTTTGGGGTTAAGGGTTTAGGGTTTAGGTTATTGTTTGGGGTTAAGGAAGTTAGTGCGCAGCGAGTAAGCTCACCGAACACAAACCGCACGAAAGCCACCGAAGCCCAACGCGCCAAGGACCTACCAAGCCACAAGACAGACACCAACAAGACACCAAGGGACCACCACACCAGGACAAACAGACACCAATGGATCACCAAGCGGACCAAACAGGCACCAATGGACGACCAATTCAGGACCAAACAGACACCAACCGAACAATTAATCCTATAAACCCCATAAACAGCATTGTCAGTGTGTGCTTTATGTTGGGGTCTGTTCACCAATCAGGGACCAATCAGAGACCAATTCATGACCAATCAGAAACCGATTCATGACCAAACGTTTAGGGCTTAAGGTTCAGGTTCCCTACACCCTCTAAAAGCCCTCTAAGCCCTACAAGCCTCTCCCCACGTTCTTCCCAGGCATTAAAGGAGAGACCCTTAAAGGGACCCTTTGGAGACTATATAAGGGTTTTCTAGGGTATTTGGATTAGGGGTCCCTCCTATTGTCCCTTACAAGTTCTTCCCAGGCCTGCCGATTCCTCCATCAGATCTTGGCGGGCGTCGAGCGCGTGCACGAGACGTGCGCCCCCTTGCAGATGGCGGGTCTTAAAGTTTAGGATTTAGGGTTTAGGGTTTAGGGTTTTAGGGGTTTAGGGTTTTAGGGGTTTAGGGTTTAGGGGTGTAGGGTTTAGGGGTTTTGGGTTTGTTGTAGGGTGTAGGTTGGGTTTAAGGTTATTAGGGACGGTTTTCGGTTTAGGTTGGATTTCGGGTTTGGGGACAGAGGTACTGTGGCACCCGGCCAAATATTCTAGAGGTACCTGAACCCTTGGGGCTTACGGTTTTTTTGCGCGAGGGAAGCTTCCATCCGCTTTCATTCTCAGCAGCCGTTCTCCCGTGTCGTAGACATTCCTCTCTCAAGAAGGGTAAGCATAATAGAGGGGGCTTGAGCGATGTTCAATACTATGCCTTCGGGTGCCTTGCGATAATTTGAGTATGATAATTGCTCCAGCTCCTATATTTGCAGAGGTCTACCTTTCTTCAGTCTCCCATTCGCCTAATAGGCAACAGGAACTTGTTGTTACTGTTCTTTCAGGGTGTAGGGTCTTGGGAAAGTAAGATCCGGTGGATAGTAGGCAGCAAAACATCCCGTCCTTCAGAAACTGCGCAAGTTTTGAACCATGTATAAAACCCAGAGCTGCGCAGTGCCTAAAGGTATGTCCTGACGTCGGTACCGCAGTTTTGTGTCTGTCACGGAGTTCCGGGTTTCGGATGGAGGTCTGTGTGCTTCAGATTTAGGGTTGAGGTTTTGGGGTTAGGGGTGTTAGGTCCTGAACCCTAAACCCTAAACCGTTCTAGGATTTAGGGTTTAGTGTTTCGGCCTTTTCCTTCTGTCACTGCTAAGTCCAACAATGTGGGAATTAGGGTGTGCCGCATGCTGTCCCCGGATAGGGTGAGGTCTTTCTCCCTTTTCCACAGTTAGCCCTTAACCCTAAACCAACCCTAATCCCTAAACCCTAAACCTTCTTTCAGCATGGCCCGGAAGCTTCTCACTCGTCTTGGGCACCTGATAAGCCAGAATCCAGCCAGAAGAATCCCTCAAACCTACTTCTCCCTAAACCCTAAACCCCGAAAAAGAGCACGAAACCCTTAAACCCTATAAACCCTAAAACCCTAAACCTTTAAAAGAGCACGAAACCCCGAAACCCTATAAACCCTAAAAACTTTACGATAAACCCAAAGCCAGCTAAAGCCAGGAATGTCGTCCACCGCGACATGAAGCCTGAAAACTTGCAGGAACCCAAGAGTCCGGCCTCGGGGTGATTACAGGCGTTGGGCTTTGTGGACCTGTGGCTCCCCAACACCATGTTATATATATATACGTGTGTGTATATATATATATGTATGTATAGATAACCCTAAACCCTTAATCCAAAATCCTAAGTATAAGTGGTAGAAACAAGAATCAGGAACCCTTACGTCCTTAGGAGTTTGGGTTTGCCGGCTGCTGGGTTTCAGGTTCTTACCCACGGCTTCAGCCCAAAGCCTTAAACAGTACGAGCACTACACTTCCTTGCGGATTAGGGGTTTCATGTTTTACCTATAGTCTCCATAGTAGTTCCTTTTTTGGTTTAATCGGTTTTATATTTAGGATCGTATAAGGTAACCCCCCCAAAATAAAACGGTACTACAAGGAGACTATAGGTATGATTTAGGACTTGACGCGCCGAGCTCCGACCAAGATGTCTACCCTAAACATCCCTAAACCCTAAACCCTAAAGTTTAAAGCCGGGCCTAACCCCTAAACCCTAAACCCAACCCTAAAGCCTAACCCCTAAACCCTAAACCGTAGACCCTAGACCCTAATTAAACCCCAAACCCTAAAGTCTAACCCCTAAACCCTAAACCGTAGACCCTAAACCCTAATTACACCCCAAACCCTAAAGTCTAACCCCTAAACCCTAAACCTCATAAAACCCTAAGCCCTGTCTCAGTTGACTGGGTTGAAGGAAGGGAGCTCCTGGGCCGAAGCCCCTCGAAGAGTTACTGAAGGGTTTGAAGTTTGCCAAACGAGGCTGCGGGGTTCGTTGCCTAGCTAGTAGGGTTGAGGATTTAAGGTGTAGTGGTTGGGCTTCAGGGTTTAGGGGTTAGGGTTTAGGGTTTCGCGTTTAGGGTCTTACCTCAGAGGGATATGTGGCCGCGGACTTCAGAACTGGGAATGTGAGCGTAGAGGCCATAATCGTTCATCCCGGGCATCGGTTTGGGTTTGAAGTGCAGGACGAGGCCAGCAACCGTCATTCCGCTCCCTAAACCCTTAACTCTAAACCCTAAACTACCTTGAACCCTGAACCCTAAACCATTAAACCCTGCACCTTATACCCTAAACTCTAAACCCTAAGAGGGCCCAAGTTAGTCTGTCCTATGCGGTTTCAGAGATTGGCGCTCCGAGTTCCCAAACCCTAAACCCTAAACCGTGTAATTTGTAAATTCTTCGCGGTATCTGTGAGTACAGGGTCAGCCCTCAGGCCCCCCCGATGCCAGCAAAACAAGAAAAGGGGCCTGAATAATAACCTATGCTATTTTGGGGGCTAAACCGTACAATTTTTTTAGGCCAACATTTGTTCTCGGGTTTAGTCGAATTTTTGCGTACTTGGAAAGAATGTTGCAGGGAAGTCTTAAATCCGAAACCCCCACTCCCCAGATCCTTTTCCCCAATCTAGGGCCCCTTCGGCTTGGAGCAGGATTTAGGGCGTAGGAACAGCATCGGTGGGTGACTACATAGGTGTTCAGACCCCTGTACTCTGCCATTGAATCCTTGACCCCAAAGAAACCTTGAATCCTGAACTCCGGACCGCTAAACCCTGAAACCCCAATCCCAGAATCAACGCCTAGGTCTAGGACATTTTCAGGTGTGTAGTTACCGTTATAGGAGCCTTATAGGAGGTCTATAAACCTTATAGTAGCCTTACGGAAGCCCTAAACCATAAACCCTGAAACCCCAATCCCTGAATCAACGCCTAGGCTTCTCGACGAGCGTGAGTGCATCAAGATCGTTGACTTCGGTCTGAGCAACACCTTCCAGGACGCAGAAGTAGTACACCCTAAGGGTCCAAAGGACCTAATAATCATGTACTTGGGTTACGGATAGTAGTTTTGTAGGTTAGTGTTCAGAAGAGTATATGATTATTAGGACAGGGTCAGAGTAGTAGAGGGGTTCGGGGTTCAGGGTCTTTTATAGGGTATCCCTACAGAGATCGTGAACAGACGTTAGCAAGAAGCAAGCCAACCCTACATGAGCATCAACAGCTTGAACTCATTAGTATGGTGTCCTCACCAATCCCCCCATTTCAAAGCTGGGCTTTTTTCAGGAGACGCCTGGGGCTTCGGGAAAGAGCTGGTGTTGAGGATAAGGTATTAGGAATTTGGACTTAGGGCTTAGGATTCTCGGGTTGAGGTGCTTCGTTGAGGCTTTTGGCGGTCTGGTACTTGGTGATCTGGTTTTTCAGCTCCTAGGAGCACAAGCTATCGGAAATCTCAACTCCAGACTCCTCGCAGCACGTTCGATGCAATGTATCAGAAAAAAATGGGCGACCCCATGAAAATTGACCTCTAACAATCGAAACCTCCATAAACAAAACTCTACATGTTAAATCCTAACCCTCAGACTCCAGAACTCTGCCTACAAGGATTTAGTATTTACTTTCAGGGGTGGGGCTTTTGACAGTTCAAGCTTCAGGGCTTACGGTGCGAGGTTTGCCGGTTTGATGTTTAGTCTAGGTTCCCCAGTAGTACCCTTTTGCCCTTAGCCGTTTATTTGGGGGTCTCCTTATTTATGCCGAATACAGGGGTGCCCACATTATTAAGGGGTTACTGGGGAACCTAGAAGTTGTGGGGTTTAAGGTACTGTAGAGTTCTGCGCAATAAACCTCTCAATAGGGATGTTGCAATTTCGGCTCTCAAATGACGGCAGAAATGGGAGTTTCCGAAAATAAGGGGTACCTTATACTGGGGTCCTTATAATAAGGATCCTACTATTTAGGGTGCTGTATAAGGCTCCCCTATTTTCGGAAAGCCCCAAATCAATCCGCGGTCTGCATGAAGTGCTGTGCAAGGATGGGCAGCTCTTGCAAACAGCTTGTGGCTCTCCATGTCGCTGTCTCAGAGTTTGGACTTTGATTTCGGAGCCTGGCATATTCAGCAGAAAGTAATACCTCCTTACCTAGACCCTCCATCTACCCTCTATCAGACCCTAAATGCCCGTTATTTGGGACCATATACCCCAACTTGAGGGTACAAGGAGGGTCCTGGTATGGTCCCTCGTTCACAGTATCTGGCGTTCGTTTTCCACACACGTTGCTAACCATCAAGCCCTAACCTCCCAGATACCTACTATATAGGGCCTTAGAGGCTCTAGTACCCTATATAGTAGGTACCTGGGGGGTTTGGGAAGGCTGTTACACTTCGGGTTCCCCAAAGCCTTGAACCCAGCTTACCTCAAAACTCGCTAGGCCCCAGACCTGAGGTTATGGTTTAGGGTTTAGGGTTTTAAGGCTTCGGGTTTAGGGTTTAGGGGTTTAGGGTTTAGGGTTTTAGGGTTTAGAGTTTAGGGTTTAGGGTTTTGAGGCTTTGGGTCTGGGGTTTAGGGTTTTAAGGCTTCTAGACAGCAATTATAAGTTCTACATGGTTGGATACCTAACGAAGTCCCTGAAAAATCGCTGCACCCCGCATCGCCCGAAGACCTACACCCGACAACCTTGTGATAGGAGGCCTTATGCTTTTAGGGTTTTGGGTTTAGGGTTTAGGGCTTTAGGGGTTTAGGGTTTTGGGTTTTGGGTTTTGGCTTTAGGGCTTTAGGTTTTGGGTTTTGGGTTTAGGGGTTTAGGGTTTAGGGTTTAGTGTATCTTGAGCTATCATTTCGACCCGCAGCAGAGAAAAGCAGCTGCTTTCGTCATGCCGCGAGAGCCGCGAGCGAAACAGCACTACTATATCCCTCGAAGGAATCCGGGATGGGTGTCTCCTCTTGCCTTTTTTGGGGCCGCTGTTTGAAGCCCTAGTGCACAGCCAGAACCTTGCAAACCCCAAGAGTTCAGCTTCACATTTAGACTTAGAACCCAACACAACCATTTTCTGACATACCCCAGACGATGCAGAAAGCTTCTTATTTACTGGTAGGAGCAAACCCTACCAAATCCAACACCGGTTGGACTTCGTCCTTCACAGAGTAGAGCCTCAGGCTATGCCGCACCTGAGATGATTGCGGGAAATCAGCGTGATGCTCGGGTGGGGTTCGGCTTTTGGGGAATGGGAGCATCATGCTTGGGGCCGTTTCGTTAGGTCGATGTAGGCCGCTCTTTGGGCAATGGAATTTTCTGCGATACCAGCAAAGGCAAGCACCCAGCAGAAGGGAGAACACCTTTTGCTCCAGAACATTACCGTACGATTCGGGCTCAGAGTGCAGGTGGAATTGAGGGGTGTGGGCTTCAGTTTCGCGCTTCGGAGCTGGTGGGTTGCTCTAAAACGGTCTCTAACGGTTCCGGTACGCTCGGAGTACACGGCTGTTCTTCTTACAATCCTAAGTGGTAACTCCAAGCCCTATGTAAAGCTTACGAGCAAACACCTCATCAAGCCTTGATTAAGTTGCTAAACCTAATATAGGGGCCTTAATAACCACCTATACTATTTTGGGGTTCCTTATAATAAATACACAATATACCCCAAAACCCTTACAGTCACTTAGACCCCTAATTTATGAACCCCCTCCCCTCTCTCTCTTGGGGCCCTGACATTACAATCCCTACTGTAATCCCGAAAGAGGGGAGGGAACAGCCCCTAGACTAGCTTCGGTAGAATGGGCTCTAGACCACAAGCCCAAACCTTAAACCCCACGAAACCCCTTACCCCAAAACCCTACACCCATGAAACCCTTTACCCCAAAACCCTACACCCCATAAACCCTTTACCCCAAAACCCTACACCCCATGAAACCCTTTACCCCAAAACCCTACACCCCGTGAACCCCTTAACCCAAAACCCTACACCCCATAAACCCCTTAACCTTCAACCCTCAAGCCCGAAACCTTAACCCCTAAACCCTAAACCCTAAGCCCTCAGCCCCTTAACCCCTTAAATCCCTGAAACGCCTGAAAACGAAGCTCCACTTCGACTCGTAGACCTTGATGGCGGCTGAATATTAGGGGTTTAGGGGTTTAGGGATTTAGGGTTTAGGGATTTAGGATTTAGGGGTTTAGGGTTTAGGGAGTTTAGGGTTTAAGGGATTTAGGAGTTATATAGAGGTTTAGGGAATTAGGGCTCAGGCTCCCCCCTCAAATACTAGTCCGATACCTTATTAAAACCTCAACTCAAAGCCCCAAGCCCTAAGCTAAGGTATTTCCCACCGATGGTGGACGTTTGGAGCTGTGGGGTCATACTGTTTGCGCTGGTCTGCGGCTTCCTTCCATTCGAGGCCCTTGCTTCAGGAGTTTAGGTGCATGGTTTAGGGTCAGGGTTTAGGGTTTAGGGTATAGGGTTTAGGGTTTAGGTTGAAATTCAGACTTTGGCAAACCTTCAGGTCATGCACCCGTACAGTAGATATGTAGGCCTTCAAAGTGTGCTATATAAGTACCTGGGACCCAACGTAGGGCAACGGAAGCTTTTCTAAAATCTTTGGGTGATGAGGCACCTGCTGTTTAGATCCAAACCCTAAACCCTAAACCATATGCAGGCCTGTCACACCTCTTGGGCGTCTGAAGGTTTTGTGGCTTCGGTTTCGGGCTGTTGAAGGTTTTGGGTGCAGGGCATGTCAACTTAGGGGCCTTAATAATTACTTATATATATATATATATTTTTTTTTTTTTTTGGGGGGGTCCTTATTGTAATTGAAGTATATATAATGGACCGCAAAACCCTATGCTAATTACTAAGACCCCCTACATTACTTGTTATTTTGTGGGGTATCGGTCTCGGCCGCCCAAATGCTAGATCACACCCTTGGCATCAGCGGTGAGGCTATTCGGAAATATGGCTGAGGGTGTGAGAACACCGTGTCAGGGGCTCTCCCGGTGTAATCTGATACAGCCCCTCTGTTAGTAAGTACACCATAGCAATATACCACCAAACTCTTTTCTATTCTTCCTCCCAAAGCCCCTTTACTAGCGGTTGTGAGGACTATCAAGCACGCGGGTAGTTGTCTGAATCAGGGTCCCTTTTAGGGTCCTTCTTACAATGGTGGCGTACTATATTGAGGACCTTAACAGGGACCCTAATTTAGAGAACTACACATGCGATGGTAATTGATAGTGCGACGGTGTGGTCTTAGGAGACGGCACTGGCACCACTACCCGTGCGCGCTGGAATCTGAAGCCAAACGACCTGAAATCATGGGATCCAGCAAGAATGCTGCTAATCACTCAGCGGGCCGTCTTTATGGCTTCATACATACCTACATACAAGACATACAACGAAGTCGTGATACATATAATATATATATATATATGTATACATATATATATATAGGTATACATATATATATATATACATATTTATATATGTCTGTATATATATATATATACATAGATGTATGTATATAAATATATATGTAATGTATGTGCACGCGTGTGTATCTATACACATTCCTGTTTGTGTGTGTGTAGAAAAGAAAGAACGACGGAGAAACACGGGTCGATAGATGGAGACCTCGTGAGCCATGCCGCAGGTTTTTGTTGCGCCTTTGGATAGGATGTAAGGGGGATCAAGGAGTTTAGCATCACTTGGAAGGTTACATCCTAAAGCCCCTACGGAACCCTTGTAGACCCTCGTAAACCAGATAAACCTCGCTGAAACCTGATCCTTTCATCCTCACTTCAATCCTAAACCCTAAACCCTAATCATTACATCCGGGCTAGCAGGACCAGAACCACGCGGAGCTGTACAAGAAAATCCTCAATGCCGAGCTTGGGCCTCGAGGTTTTGAGGTGTAAGGGTTTAGGACTGATAAGTAGGGTTTAGGGTTTAGGGGTTTAGGGTTTAGGGTTGTTTGGGGACTATCCGTCTTTGATTCATTACGTAGGGACTGCAGGGGATCTTACTGCTAAGTATTCCGACCTCAATAACATGAGGGGTTCCAGAGCTTGTAAGTAAGGCAGTAAGGTTCATCCCGCAGTTAGGGTGCACAGTTTTATACTGAATCCCGATGCTTCTATGCTTCGGGTGCTGTGCTTTTGTGGTCGGAGAGTATCAGCTTCAGGATTCAGGATTTGGGGTGCGCGCCGCACTTTCCTATAGATTCAGTCAGCACATCCGCTGCGTCGTAAACTGCTGAAGTCCTCGTTTTGTAGTTAAACCTGTATCTCTCATCCCAACCTAAACCCTAAACCCTAAACCCTAAGCCCAACTCCGAAACCCGGCCTGTTGCCAGCACGACTGCCAAGGTACGAGACACCCAACTTTGTCAGCCCAGAGGCCGATTTCCGTTGCTTCGGGTGAGACTAGGCCATGACAGTCTTCCCAGGGGAAGTACCGTATAACTAGGTCTTTGGGTTTGGTATCGTGGTATAGTAATGTAGCTCAGCACTCGGTAGGGTCTAAGAAAGGGTAGCTAGGGTGTCTTAGGCGGCTCTTCCGTGTGTAGTCTTCTTGGTTGAGGGCTTTCTTCCAGGTTTAAATTCAGCGTTGAGTAGTTTGGGTTGAAGGCCTTAGTGCTACAAGGTCTTAGCTTAGCACGAGAGGATCAGCACTACGGGCTTGGTTTCTTGCTGGTTTGAGAAAGCTGTGCTTCTTGGTTCCGAATTCATCGTGTGTGTGTGTGCGTTGTTTGATATTATTTTGTGTGTGTGTGCGTTTGTGTGTGTTTGTGTGTGTGTGTGTGTCTGTGTGTGTTTGTTTGTTTGTGTGTTTGTTTGTGTGTTTGTTTGTGTGTGTGTGTCTCTGTGTGTGTGTGTGTGTTTGTGTGTGTGTGTGTGTTTGTGTTTGTGTGTGGCGGGGAGGGGGAAGGGGATGGTTGCAGGGTTATAAGCCCAAACAGCCGAACAAGTTCCTAAGGCGTGGTCAAACTATAAACAATGTGAAATGCCTTCGCGACATTGACACACCCGAAATCTAATAAACAAAGACAAACAAAATCTCACAACGAATCGTTTGTCTAGGATGGTCTAGAAAGAAAGTTCGTGGAGTTGAGCGAGATTGGATGGGCGGTGTCAGACTCCAAAACTGTCTCAAGGACACAAACTAGGGGCACGTGCACCTACATAGTATATAAGTTTTCCCATGTCAGGAACCCCTACAACAGCCAAGTATATCACAAAGAGGTGCATGGGCCTTAGGTGGTTAAACCCTAAACCCTGAACCCTCTTTCTCTTGGAAGATTGGATCTTGCTGCTTGCGAAGTTTAAACCCATGTCCTGCCCTTCGTTGTTTGAGCAATCGTAGAACAACCTGTACATGCGAGGGTTTAGGGTTTAATTGGGTGCCAAAGTAAGATCCTTATTGTTCGCAGGCTTCACAGCGGGCACCTAATAGTTTTGAAGCCAGCACATCGGCAGAGAATGGCAAGTACAGGGCAATGCTGGCACCAGAGGCAAGCCGGTTTTAGTCCCCCGCAAAACCCTAAACCCTAAAACCCTAAACCCTAAACCCACAAAAGCCAATGGGGGACATGTGCTTTGACAAAGCCAAGCCCTGATTGGGGGCTTAGGATGAAGCAGGTCATGGTTCTTATTCGGGCTCGTACTATGGATTCTGCTCTTTATTTGGGGCACGGTCAACCAGGCGGTTCTCTATGAAGTTTCCACATTCGAGGCCGGGAACCCTAAAACCTAAACCCTGAACCTTACCGCTCTAAGCCCTGAACGCTTACCTTACCGACAGTCTCCATAGTCTTTCCTTTTTGGTCGCCTGGTCTTCTCATTATTGACGCCTATCCACAACAGAACAGTCAGCTAATCAGAAAAAAGAACTACGACGGAGACTATAGGTAGTCCTTCCTCCTGAAACCACCCCCCGATGCCAACACGTTGGAAACACAAGTCTCTACACTCGAAAGTCCTGCCTGAACCTGGGAAAGTAAAGCACCCCCAAACCTGGCCGCCTTCTACAAGTATCCCGTTCTAGACCCTAGATATCCAACATTACGGACGAGACGGGCTCTATTAATGTAGCGGCCTAAATATTTACCAGTACTATTCTTGGAGGTTCCTTCCTTATTAGTGTGAGATTATTACGGCCCCTATATTATGCCTTACATGCTGAAGTTCCTTCGCGAATGCTAGGTGACCAGCCTCATCGCCGGTATGCTTACTACGGCCAGCTGCCGCGATGTAAATTTCAAGATTTAAGAGTCTAGGGCGTTTGGGATTTTAGTCTTTAGGGTTTGGGAGTTGGAGTTTCTGAGTTTCAGGTTTCATTGCATTGCATTGACAAGGCACATTCCTGCATGTTTGTGGCTTGCGAAGATTATGGCGATAAAAGGGCCGCGGATTAAGGTTTAGCCATTTAGTCGGATCCAGGGACTGGGTATAGAGCGGACTATATGTTTGCCTTACTTGTATGGGAGCTCGCAGGACGGGTTTTGCCTGTGCGGTGGTGGCTGGGTTTGGGTCGTAGGTTCCTGGTGATCAACCCTGCACCATGTAACTTGCGTTGTTGTGATCCTTAGAAAAGTTCGGATGCATGCTTCCTTCATCGGGCGCAGGGCTGAATCCAAAGCTTTGAAGCCTGAAACCTTAGACTCTGAACCCTGAAGTCTGAGCCCGAAACCCTGCCCTGAATCCGAAACTCTTGAATCCCAAGAATCTCAGGGATTGTGCCAGGATCCAGAGAAGCGGATGTCCTTGAAGGACATCCGGAAACACCAGTGGTGTGGAGCTGAGCAGATTTGGGGACCACCAAGGAAGTAGATCGATACTCTTCCACCTCAACACCACCGCTCAACACCACCGCTCCACCTCGATAAACACATGTCGAGATTGTATAGCACATACCTACAGTCTCCATTGTAGTTCCTTTTTTCGGTTTAACCAATTCTAGATTAAGAAACCTAAAAAGTAACCCACAAAAAGGAACTACGATGGAGACTATATAGGTAAGAGCAGATAGATAGTCAAAGATGCCACCGTCCAATTCCCGATTGTAGATACACCCTTAGGTGACGTGAGTGCTGTCTATATGGCTCCAGACCTACGTATTACAGCACCTGTAGTAGGATATTGGGCTCTTGGGGTGTAGTGTGACTTGTTCGCAGTGGTAGAAAGGTTCTTTGTTCTGTGGGTTTAAGTACAAGGAAGAAGTTTTGAGCCGGTTTGGCTCGAGTATCATGTGGCACATTGTTTCGTTTGGCTCGTGTGAAAATTCGATGCAAAGCGCAACCCCCAACCCGAACCCTGCACCCTAAATCGCCGAGCCCCTATAGTGACTACTAGGACAGAACATGCTCCGAAAGCCTGCTCTAATTAACTAGCATGGAACCATATAAAAACCGTCAGCCCCAAGGCATTGTTAGTTAGAGCGCTAGCATTGGTAGAGCCCCAGACATAAACCCTAAACCTTAAAAACCCTCAAAGCTACATGCACTCTACAAGCCCAGACCCTAACCACCCCAGCCCTTGAAAATGCGTTAAGGAAAGCCTTAGACCCAGACCCTAAACCCTATCAGCCGTAAGCCCTAAACCCTAAAACAACAGCTTCAACCAAGGTACTGCCAGATCCCTGAGTCTAGCCTCATGGATCGAGATGACATGGAAAACCTCGACGAGGCAACGGGGAGAGGCAGTAGAACGGGGTTTCGCAAGGGTTCTAAAAGGTGCTAGAAGGGTGTGGTGGGGATTTGGAGCTGTTTGGGGATTCTAGGTTTCTGGGAGGTGTTGAGGGCTTAATAATATAGGGGCCTTAAATAATGAGAAAAGGGTTTGGGGGTATATTACACTATAAGTCTATAAGTATAATAAGGAACCCCCAAAATAGACTGGGAGATTGTTTCTGCCCCTATATTACCTGATTTGAAGCGGAAAAGGTTTGAGGGGTCAGGGAGCATAGGGTAGGGCTTCATGGCTCAAAGCTTATATACCCTTCGAGGTCTAGGGCGTAGCAGCAAGCCTCTTCCGGATTTGGTGGCGAGGCCTTTGGAAGCCTCGGAACCCGACTGGAACTACTCATCGGGTTACGGGTTTTGGGCAACGAGTTTCATGCAAGCTCGAGCCCTTCGTTAGCTCACGGCCTTGACCCCAAAACGCTAATCCACAAATCCTTCCCCCCAAATCCAAAACACCTTAAATTAAACCCCAAATCCGCAACCCTAAACCCTAAACCCTTATGATTAAACCCGAAACCCTCTAAACCCAAGACCCCTCAGCCCTGATGCTTCGGGGGTGGGGCCGCAAAGTCAGCCCATCACGAAGCCTCAACGACCGGAGCTGCAAGCATGAAGCAAGCTGATTCGACCATTCAGTGCTTGGAGTTTCGGTGCTTGGGCACCCTAAGCCCTAAACCCTAAACCCTAAACCCTAAACCTTAACCGTGGGGTTTTTAGGGCTTCGGGGTGTTAGGGTTTAGAGGCTCGCAGCTCAAAGTTTCGGGTCGCGGGTAGCGAGTTGGGCAGGGCATCAGTGTTATGTGTTTAGGGTGCATTTTACGGTATAGGGCATATGTGTGTATGTATATATATATATATAATATATATATATATATATGGGGTTTAGGGTTTAGGGTATTTAGATTGAGCTGCGGCACCCATCTACCCAAATCCACCATAACCTACTGTTTTGTAGGGTCCCTTTAAGTTCTAGATTATGGTTGATCATCACAGAACCTGCAAAAAAAGAATTGTAGGTTTTGGGAGTTTCAGGTAGCGTTTCCAGGTTCAGGGTAGACTAAAGACTCCCTTCACAGACTTAAATGAAACTACAGGTGGGGAGTTCAGGGTATATAGGGCTTCTATAAGGCTTCTCTAAGGTATATAGACCTTCTGTAAGGCTTCTATAACGGCAACTACCCACCTGAAAATGTCCTAGAGAGAAAAAGCACTGTTTGTCCCAGGCCATCTTAGATCAGCTGGATAACTACGGCTTTCCCCGGGAGTGCCCGGGCCGCCGATTGCCCATGTGTTTGGTTTATGCATAGTATAGGGGCCTAAATAGTTGCTTATACTATTTTGGGGGCTCCGTAGTATAATGGGTCCCAAAACCCTATTCTAATTATTAAGGCTTCTACATTCGCTGCATGGCAGTCTGCAATCACCACAGCTTCATCATAGTCGCGAGACTGCTAAGAATGAGGAAGTGGGAATGAGAATGGACATCGGCAGTGGTGACTCTGCAGAGACAGCAGTGAGGGAGTGGCCAGCATCCAAATGTATGCACAACACTAATGAGGCGTCAGCCGATTCTCCTGTTATAAGGCACAAGTGCTTATGCTTTCGAATGTTTTGGGCAATCAACGCCCACAGCAGCCGCAGGGGCATCACCGTCAAGAACTACACACATACCCTACAGCAAGCCAAAAAGAAAACAAAAAATAAACGCAACCAGCAAGCAGCAGCAGCGATAATCCCGACCTGGCTGATGCTAGCGCTGCTTGCAAATGCTACGGTAATGGTTCTGCACAATCCTACCCTGTTGTCCTACACCCTCAGCCTACTAAGATGCTATTCCTGAGGGTTCCGTAAAGAAGATTTAGTAAAAGTATACCGTACCCGAGAACCCGGTTCCAGTCTTAAGGGCACTTCTAGTGTTTGTCGGTCCAGGCCTAAGGTCTGTAGATGATCAGCCCCAGAAAACCGACAACCAGAGCTCGAAGGCCACGACGCGCCCGCGCCGGAAACCTGCCGAAACCCTGACTCCTGAATCGCCAGAGCCCTAAAGCCTTAAAGCCCCAAAGTGCGAGAGATCGCGAGGCTCTTGAACCCGAAATCGCAAGCCCGAAAGTTATGACGGCCTGTGCAGGGTTTTTAGGGTTTTGGTTGTATGGTTTAGGGTTTAGGGTATAGGGTGTAGGGCTTTTAGGGTTTAGGGTGTAGGGTGGCATGGAGCGAACCCGGCTCCTGGAGGTCTACAGACTTTACCTCAGGGTTTTTAAAGTAAGGTTTAGGGGTTTAGAGGTTTAGAGTTTGGGGGTTTAGGGTTAAGGGTTTTAGGGGTTTAGGGGTTTACGGGTTTAGGGCAGGGTTTAGGGGTTTAGGGGTTTAGGGTTTAGGTTTTCGTTAGGGTTTTAGGGTTTAGGGTCCATTGTACTTCCCTTTTTAGGGTTGCCTCATAGGATCCTCAGTATATACTTGGTTAAGCCAAACGAGGAAGTACAATGGAGACTATAGGAATCACTCCCATTTCTGGAATAGTCCTTAGTTGTGGGCTTTGGGAGTTTCTTGATGTCGTGCCAGGTATGCAACGAAGTGTATTCAGTCGAACAAGCACAATCACGTCACAACCACGCCTCCGCCTCAGCCACGCAACTGTGCTTGCAGGCTCTTAGAACGCCGTCAGTAAGTGTACATGTGGAACCGTGTAACGAAATAGAAACGAAAGATACCACGCATATCTGAGCCCTAAACCCTAAACCCCAAGACCTGATCCCTAAACGTTACAGCCTTCACATAGTGACAGAGATCGTTGGGGCTTCAGGCTTGGATTTCGCGGGAGTTGCTGGCTCGTTGCCCTAAGCCCCAACTCGAAATCGCAAGCTTTGCTATCACCGAGTCCCGAAAGGCTTTAGGGGTTTAGGGTTTAGGGTTTAGGTTTTGTACAGATGCGCATGCTCGAAGCATCTCGAAGCATTTACCAACATTTTCCGGCACTCGAACTCTCGGACGTGATTTCTCAAAGCCGGTCTAGGCATCCAAGGCTATCTTGTGCGTTCACCTCGGAGACTCACAGACTCCTTGTTTCAACATTGTAAACCTTACCTGTAGCCGAAAAGACCTATCTTTTTAGGATTCCTTATTATGGTATATATATATATAGATATGTATATATATATAGATATATATATATATATAGAGAGAGAGAGACAGAGGGAGCGAGGTAGTTCCTCAAAAAGGAAGATCTTTTGGGCCACAGGTAACCATCCTGAACCCGTAAGGTTTTGACCTGCTACTGCTACAGACCACTTCACCGGCACCCCCCTCCTTTGCATCCCAGAAAGCTCTTGCCTGAATCACTACCGTGTAATCCTTAAGCCAAGACACCTGTCCGTGACGTGGGGAGCGTCAACCTTGCAAAGTCCAAGTCGTCGAGGAGAAGCAACCCTAAGCCCTAAACCCTAAAACTCTAAACCCTAAACCGAAGCAACATTTGGCTAGGCAGGTTTGAGAGATCTCTTGCTCTCTTGCACTTCGAGATCTCATCGTTCTAACTGCAAGTTTATGAGCCCGAGGCCCCCTTCGCTCTAAACCCCAATACCCTAAACCCGAAGACCCTCAACCCGCAAGGTATTACCTGATCCGGGAGAAGCAGCTGCGATCTGAATCTTTAGGCCTGTTCCCTGCTTTGCCGGTGTTGGAATCCTTACATGCAGTACGCTGCACAGGGCTCGGATTGAATATTGGTGAGTGTGCATTGCCGCATTGCCTTTTATGTCGAGGAGGATAGCATAGAAATAACATGACCCTAAACCCTAAAACCTTAACCCTAATCCCTAAACCCTAATCCATAAACCCTAAACCCTAATCCCTAAAACCTAAACCCCAGTCCCTAAACCCTAAGCCTGAGGCCCCGGACCCAAATCCCGATTCAAAGGAAGGACCTGTGCCTAAGAAGGCCTCAGTTCCGTTGGGAGACGCTGTGAGGTTTTGGGCACCATAGGAGCTTACAAAAAAAGGACGACACGATTTTTTTTTTTTTTTTTTTTGGGGGGGGGGTA